TAAAATGAAATGTATAGACAACAAAACTGGTGAAGTATTTGTTGATTTCTTAACTTAGAGTCTCCGTTAATTAAAGAGGTTCTTTTTATAAAAAAATCTGGTGATATAACAGAAAATAGCTTAATTCAGAAACGATTTAAGTTTAAAACTGAATCGGTATTTTTACTTTCATGATATATTTTATGCACTTGGCTGTAGGCTAGGTGACCCCACACTATGTCTTTACTTTAAGCTTATTATACTAACACTCACTACGCTTATAAGGTTTCACGGCACCCCCGTCATTAACATCGTAATGGGCAGACAATAATCGAACTATTCTATCTGAATAAATGCATTTTGGGTTTTATAACTCCTCTTATTTCGAGAAATCAAGCATGACGTGACACATACTGGCTTTTATATAGGTTAGATGTTCTAGATCCTGAGCTTTTCTTGGAACTATTTTCTTGGTAATGCATTTTTGCCCAGTAGTGCAATTTCCGTCGTGAGAAGCTCCTGTGAAGAACACTGAAATCAGTATATGAACATTGACTTACAATACCACATACAGACCACATACAGGTACAAAAGTCCATTACAGCTACATCGGGAGGTTTAAAAAGGTGTGTGTCGTTAGACAAGACTGCTTTAACTCCAGTTTCTTTGGCTGGAATATTTTCTTGAAAACATTCATTGTTTTTGAGGTGTGGCTAGAAGTTTGTAAATTTGTGGCTTATGATCCTTGTCAGTTTCAGCTCTTTGTTAATTCCAAACTTTATTACAACGGGTGTTATTTTAAGGGGAGGAGACTGAGGAATCTTCCTTTTCAACATAATCTTTACTTTTCTTTGCACTGCTCTGGATTGGCTTTTCGTATGGTTTTGTAGCCTGTTGCTGGCCTTAAAGCTCTACTAGGTGAGTTGATCTGCTTCCACAAAGAACTTTGAAGCCTCATCTTTTTGAAATGAGTCATTTATTCTACATAATTTAATATAACGTTCTACAAATATTACTCCTTGAAAATGACTGTGACATAAGCCAATCTGAGGCGGAAAGTCACTGTTAACAAAATATATACAGCAGGTGCTACACACGTCGTCCATGATGCCATGGCTTGGCTCTTCAGTGACTGGCCACAGTATTAGCATACTCAAATTGTTTTTATAAAGGGCAGTTAGCCATCCATTTGTAATATGCAGACATACTGTATGTTTATGATCTTCTTTTATCAATTTAGAAATTTTCAAAAATTTTAATTTAATATGATTCTACGCTGTTCTAACATAAAAACATGGTCCAGACAAATGTTGAGCTGTTTTCATTTCAATTACCTTACTCCTTTGTGGTTCACTAGTATATAATACATACTCTGCCACAGAGATATTGCTGCAACTTCTGATGTGGTGCGGAATAGGTCAATGACAGCAATGTCTTTCTCTAGCCTAGAAAATCTAGTCTGGTCTATGTTTTATTAGAATGACAAGCCACATAGAAAATGCTAGTCATTATGGGTAAATCTGTGTCTCCTGTTACAATGGAGAATTGGACTGACAATTCTAAAGTGAATCGGTCAATGGAAATATATATTGTGGAAAGAAAGGTGTTGATCGATTTACAGATATAGTTTGTTTGTTTGTTTTTTAGAAATTCGCGCAAAGCTACACAAGGGCTACCTGCGTTAGCCGTCCCTAATTTAGCAGTGTAAGACTAAAGGGAAAGCAGCTAGTCATCACCACCCACCGCCAACTCTTGGGCTACTCTTTTACCAACGAATAGTGGGATTGACCGTAACATTATAACGCCACCACGGCTGAAAGGGCGAGCATGTTTGGTGAGACGGGGATTCGAACCCGCGACCCTCAGATTGCGAGTCGAGCGCCCTAACCACCTGGCCATGCCGGGCCGACAGATATAGTAGAAAGCAACGGTCCAGTGTCTACACAAGTATGCACACTGTGCTCTTTTTTTTGCATATAAATAAATATTGTGTCCAGTATATTTATTTTCTTAATGTAAGATGTAGTTGTTTAGTTAAATTCGAATTCACAATGTAATTATTCTGCACAAATCTCCAGTTATAAAGCAGACCTTGGGCAGAAATCAATTTCACCCGAGAATATCGCTGATATCGAAGTATAAAATTATATATATGTATGTATCAAACGAAAAACGCTTGTAAAATATACTTTTGATTACTATAATTATCAAAAGGTTAACGGTTGTATATTATGTTTTTCTGCTTCTTCAAACATTAAATATGAAATATATTTAAACCATTGTTTTGATAGAAAGTCTCAAACACAAAAACTTGACTTCAAGTCAAAAGTTTCATTTATCAACATAATTCTCAAGCTGCATTAAAGTTGAAGGTTTATTGATAATATATATATATACGAGAAAAAAGTTAATTAAGACAGTGTAACAACAAATTGCAGTAGAAAAGAATTAGTTAAAGATAGACTGCAGTAGTCGTAAGACCTGTCCTAATGCTTCATTTGAAGACTGTGTAAGCAGCTGTTTAGAAGCCCTGCGTTGAAGCCTTTTTTTATCTACCATTATAATGTTTATCAAATAATATAATCAATTTTGGCAATTGGCAAATCAGTAATTCTCGGACAGTGTTTACGTTCGATATTATAACTTATAAATGAAACCGAAATCAATACAGAATGAAGTCTCTTGAGTTTCAATTAATTGGAACCAAAATGCAAGAGTAATTAAGAGTAATTACCTCAAAGAAAGGTGGTTAATAACCTTCGATTTTTCCAATCATTTTTCTAATTCATTATCCTAAGTTTAATTATCAGTCAAGATTAATATATTTCCTTATAATAACATAGTTTGAAGCTAAACATTTGGTAGGTTCTGTGTAATAATAAGTTTTAAAAAGATCGGGCGTTGCTTAATAGTTAGAGTGCTGGATTATGGGTTTGAAGGTCCAGGATTTGTACTGCAATATGCCGTTGAACCCACTGGAAGCGTTATAATTGTGACAGTCAATCTCATTTTTTTAATTAAGGGTAGCTGTTTAGGAAATGGTTTCTGCTAACTGGTTGCATTTCTTCTAGTCTACAGTTCTAAATTAAGATTAACTGTGCTGGAACCATTGTGCCTGATCTGACCTTTTAGCCAATGCGTTAAATAGTGTGTCATTTAGGTTAAAAATACCAAATACAAAGTTTCCAAATTCAAACTTCCTAAATAGTGAGGCATGAAATTTACAAATATCTCCATGAGCCACTCGCAATTTTAGTTACTATACTTTAGCTTTAGGTTTGTAGGTATAATTATATAGGGTTCTCACGATAAAGTATATATATATATAATCTACTAAAATGTTTAAGTATATTATCATTTAACATTTAAATATAGTTTTTGTAACTGCCGTAACTATGAATCTGGTGTTTTAAATATTTATATACTTTTGAGTACATACATTATTTGTTGTAATATGTTCTGGCTTTTTCTTGAACGGCGTATAAAGCTATAAGTTCTAGTTTTGGATTATAAAGTTCATAACAGTGCTTGTATTATAAAAAGTTGACAGTAGTTTTGGTTTTCAATCTTAGCCTCCCGTTAAGTGTACTTTGAGATTGATTTTACCTTTGCATATACAAGTTATATGTTATAGACATACATACCACGTGATAACATGTTATCATGTGATTACTCAAACGCAAAGTTAGTCAACATCA